TGGCTGTAACTAGTCTTTTTGTAAAGATAATCATACTTTGTCTTAGAGTTTTGTAAAGCTCAAAGACTCAACTTTGAGAATATGAAACGGTTTTTTGGAAAAAATTGCGTAAATTATATGTAAATTCAATTTAAAACAAAAAAGAATTTTTCCTATGTTAATTAAATGAGAAACTAAAACAAAAATAGCGACTCCTCAGATTTGAGCTATAGGGCTCATGTTTGGCGAGGATTTTTTTACATCAAATAGAAATAGAAACATTTGAGGGGGTAAATTACAAATTTTGTTTGAAGCACCCTAATACATAGATCATAATGTTAACTTCTTTGTATTTTATTAGTAGGGTATAATGAATAAAATCTATTTTGTATTGGTAATCATGAGTCAACACACGACACAAACAATTTTGTTCTAAAACGAAGTCTTTTTGTGCTCTAACCCACGCTTGCTGGAAAATGCCTCTAGTCGGCATTTTTTCCTCTCATTATTATCTCTATATTGTGTTTCATTAAATTAGGACAAGATAAATGTGTTTTTCTGTTTTAAGAAAGAATGTCTTGTTAATCATAAAATTGTTTCTTACCTAATTCCTTTTCCAAATAGTTCTTTTCTTTGTCTGTAATGTAAGGGTGCGATTCGGGACTGGAAAAGCATATTAATTCCCATATTATGTACCACAAAATGCCTATACCACCAAAGAAGTAAAATACGGACGCCCAGTCTTCTGTGGCTGATATTAGAACGCCACTTACAGAATTACTAAAAACAGTTCCTGTAATTGCATAATACCTAGTTTTTAATAAAATAAATACCAGTTAAACAATTGTATGATTTACCTAACACGCTTCCCGAATATGCTAAAGATCCTAGTTTTGATCTTTCCGATGTTGGCACCCATTTTGCTAGCAGAACGCTGAGAGCAGGGAATGTTGTTCCCTGCAGACAAGACAAATAACGTTTATAATACTGATCTCTTATTTTAAAGTTCTGAGATAGTGGTGATCAAAACTAGCACATTTTAAAAATCAATCAACATATAGCTGATTGCAAGATCAAGGTCAATTCAATCTCAATAAAATTATAAAAATAACCTATCTGTTATAATGATTATTCAAGTTACTTTAATAATGAATCGTAATGAAAATTATATAATCCAAAAAAGTAGTTTAATATTATGCTTTAAACATATGTAATTCGTAGCATAATAGGTATATTCACCAATATATATTCATTGATTCGCGTTTGAGGTAAATAATTACACAATACTTAATCTCATTCATGAAGGCAACAATAAACATAAATAGTTTATGAATTGAATTTAAAGTGTTTTTATTTAATGTATACTTTTAGGTATGCTGTTCGTGTTTATAAGAATCATTTAAGTTCTTTGTCAGAAATTTATTGATTTGATCAGTACTGCACAAGCAGTCCCACTAAAATTCCATCTAAAATGAGTAACATCCATGTTTATGTAACATCTAGCGATATTTGCTGCTACCTTAAGAATTTCAAAAGTTAGACAATCTTGTTCAATTGAATCGGCGGCATGGCCTAGACCAAGTAATTTTAGATGGGGGTTAGGATGTTTTTGAAAATTTTTATCAAGGTCCAGACTCCTTCCTCCAAAAATGGTAAGGGTGGCGCTCAAAGCCCAAACATACTTTGTTATCTCTATTTTCTAAATACAGTGTAAACTCTATATAACGACACTTAAGGGACTGAACATTTTTCGGCGTTATAAAGAGTGGTCGTTAAATGGAGAGAAATAAAAGATTTTATTTTACTATTCTATTATAATATGCATTTACCAATACAGTACACATCTTGCACACGAACATTATTATTCATACATTGCGTATAGCCTGTTATCTTCGTCTGATGTTTTTTGCTGCTCCAATATTTTAATTGTATTTTGTTACGTATCATACTCATATCTTGAGATAC